GCCGGGAAAGCGTGTGCAGATGTGTATGGTCTTTTGGCTTAAACCACTCTGTGCTCATGCACCATATCTTTAAACCTCGAAAATAATTTTTTTAGGAAAGGTTGTAGCAATTTGAATGAAGGCAATAAAGTAACTCAGAGGTGAAGACAACTGTGTTAGTTGAGTACCTTACTCGAAACAATGAAATACATATTTTAGTTCTTATTCAAATCCAGTGTTTTAGACGCATTTTGTCGGCCAGAAATGACAGACACAGCGGAGTCGATCAATCATAATTCACGGCAGACTAAATTGATATTAAAACAGTTATGTAAAGGGAGAGTAAACATTCATCATATACTTATATAAACTTATATAAACATATTACTAATTAATGACGTTTTCGACGATTTTCTGAAAATTTGCGACTATTTTCCAAAGATTTCCGAAGATTCTCCAAAAGGTGTCTGAAGACCTCACGGACGTTTCCGATCATTATCCGAAAATGGCCGAAAATTACCGAAGATGTTCAAAGATAACTTATTAAGATTCAAAATACACCAACAAGGGAGGGGGGAGCTTGACGACTTTCCCATAATGCAGCGCGTCGAAGTTTGCGCGAGTCCTCTCAGATGATATACCAACAAATTTAAGTAGAGTTGACGAGTCAAACATGATATCAAACATTACGTCGATATCATTACAGTGAAATCGTCGTAATTTGACACGTGCTCAATTACGGCTTTTCTCAGACCTGGGAATCATTGTACATCAATTAACGCAGTTGATGTAATCAATGGTAAAGCAGGGAAAGGAAAGAGGATTAAAGGGTGATCAAACTGCAGCGAAAAAGGAGCAAAGAAGAGCAAAGAAGTAAGAACAACGCAGAAAAATTGCCCACAGTTTTGACTATGCACATGCTCTAAGATGGCAGCATCGCAATTGAAGACGATAAGCAATCAAAAACGCTTTGACTGGATCGAAAATATAACGTTTTTCGTCAGAGTTTTAGGTTGTGCTGAAATGTCAGCAAAGTCCCCCTGTTCCTTCCCCTCCCCTCCCGACCCAATCAAGTATCCTATCGAACGGCGCATTGTCTGACTCTCTTGATTAACGAACGACTACTTCCTTCTGCTTTTGTCATTGTCTTCCACTCCCTCTGGTGACTCGGGCCGACCTGCACCGTGTACAAGGGTCTTCATGATTGGCCAAACGAAGCAATAGGTATACAACACAAACAATGCCCCTTGCCCTAAAAACAAAAGAGGTACAGATTAATATTAACAAGAACAAATCAAAATAGAAGTTTTAAAGAGGTGCAGGTCATCTGAGTGACTAAGGATGTTATCTTTGTTCTATGCTCATTAT